GCGTGCCAGTAATACATTTTAATGTTTTAGAAGGCCTCTTTCTACAAGTCTATAATATATAACTAAACTATTGTTGTATATAAAGTAAATAAGGTTTTTTAAATGTTTAAGAAGCTTCATTTAAAATTAAATTAAAATGCAGAGCCCCCCGGACCGGTGGCCAGGACCCGGGCAGTGTGAGTGCCACTGAAAATCAGCTTGCGTGCCACCTTCGGCACAAGTGCCATAGGTTGCCTACCCCGGCAAATCAAATTACATCAAGTATTGAAATATACATTTTACACCTTGGAATGCTACTGCTTACTGAACGCTTACTGAAAACAACCGAGATCACATAAGTTTCTGAAAACTAACTTTGCACAGTCACAGCAATTTAACAATATGTAGGAAAGGAAGGTGTAGTACAGCAATTTTATGTAAATCTACACTACTAAAGAAACTCATAAAATCACTACAGACACAAGTTAGTGTTCACTCTGGATAGAGGAAAAACTGCATAACTACAATCTGCTAGGATAAGAATACAAAAACAGTTGCTTTCACCACTGGAGTTAAGAGTCTGCAATAAGGAGTCTAACGTTCCCTTTGAAGTGTGCATTTATCCCCAGTAGCATTAATGGATCAGAAGCAATCTCCCCTTTATCTCCAACCACTAAGGCTTCACATTATAGAGACACTATTTCTGGTGGAGGGTAGATCCAGCTCCTTCTGGACCCAATCTATGTTGATTGATAAATCTGCCAATGTGAGTCACCACACAAAGACACAGGACATTCCCTTATACGGGGCTGTTAGAAACTGTCAGCTAACAACAAAAATTGAGTGGGATTAGGATTAGAGCTAGATGAAGAACAGTAATTCTGTTTCATGGAAGATTTCCAAATTTGTTTTCATTCTGATTCAGAACGAACACAAAACGATGAAAGATGCTCAGCAAAAGAAATCCAAAAAGGGCTTTATTGAAAAATTGCTTCGAAACAATTCCGCCAGGCAGGTTGAAGGGGATTTGGGAGCCTAGAAACCTTGGCTGAACAGGGAGCCTCAAAGCTCAGGAGCTGGGGTTCTCAGGTTCTTCAGCAGCCTGCTTGTCGGACTGCTAAGAAGCCAGGAAGATTGGGATTTTGGTTTCACATGGATCCTGGCCCAAGTGGCTCCTCAGGCTGCCTGACTCCTGTGAACCATTTCAAATTTCATGACTTGGCATTTACCTTTGGAAAAATGCTGAGCCAGAAAATTTCCAA